TTTTTTTTTTTTTTTTTTGTCTGTGGGGCTATCTACTAGCTAGGTCGATTGGTTATACATTTATAACAGAAATTCACAATTATATTATGCAATGTCATACTTTTTTTCAACGTAATATTTCATTTTTTTTTTTTTCGAAACGACATAATCCATTATTAAAACACGTACTTACAACCAGTTCAGGAGCTGGAAATGAGAGGTCTACCAAAGGTAACCTATGCCACAACACAACACAACCAGAAAAAACAAAAACAAATAACTCTCCAGTGAGAGAAAACTCACTCCCCAACAGGAGAATACAAACTCCCCAAAGAATTGACACTCTCCAAATGGAGAAAAACACAAATGCACACTAACAGGCAACATCACAAACAAACACAATAAAAAACACAAAACAACAAAACCTAAAACTAAAGCCCTTCCCGCAGCAATGTAGCCAAACCGAACATCAACGATGCCGACACCATGGCCAAGACCCGCAATCGGAGATTCAAAACATACTCCACCTCCCAAGACCCGACAACCCCGGTCCAGGACACAGGGCCCCATCCCGACTCGAGCTGACTCCGCGAACAGAACCCAGAGGCCCCGAGAGCAGAGTTAAACGGGAAAAGGGAGGAAAGTGAAACAACCCTTATCTCAGCCCCAACTACCACCTCGCCTACCTCCGAGGGGATAAAGGAGCCGCAGTCTTCAATCGCAGCCTCGCCGGCAGCTCGCCACAGCCTAGACTCCGAGGAAATTTCGGACCCCAACCCACCTTGGCAATCTGTAAGACGGCGAAATTCAAGGGGAAGACCCCATCTTGCCCGAGGAAAAGGCCGCCTCCACTCCCGACGAGTGCCCGAAATGCAACCGCACGACACGGAAGACGCCGCCGTCGTGGTGGCCCGAAGGCCCTGCTGGGGAAAGGCACGATTCTCGGCCGATTAGAGGAGTAGGTTTTCTTGGGAAGTTTGGGGCTTTTTAGAGAGAGGATTTTTATGAGGAAAGTAGTAGCTAATATTTTAATTTGAATGCATATATGTTTTAAAAATACAGTTGTCAATGCGTTACTTCCCCAAAAGAGCTCAGTTACTAGTGGACCAGTGGTTAATACATCATAATTAATTATTATTATTATTTGTTGTGAAAAATAAGTTGAATAAACGAAATGAAATCTATATTATGTTTGGTAAACCAAATA